CTGTCCAGCCAAATGACCGTTGCGAACAGCCCGAATTCCTAAGCGTTTTCGGAACGATGTCGTCCAAGCCTTAGCTTCTCTCTGGACATCTGAATTTGATTTACGGTGTTCTCCAGGTGAATCTAACGGTTTATTGATGTTGCTTACTCCCCGTGCGCGACGGGGAGGTCTTTGAACTTTCACTGCTTGTTGCTAAGTCGGTGAAGCATCGCTGCCCAGAGAAATACGCCTCGGTGGTGGCGGCAGCGGTTGCTGCGATGGTCGTGGCGGCGGAAATCGCCAGAAGTCAGAAGCTCTGTCTAAAAGAAGCGCTCCGAGTCCGAGCCACCAGGCACCAAGTACCTTTTTTCTTATTCTGGCGGCACTGCAGCGAGAAGGCTAGACACCACATTCCGCCCGCAGAAAATTCCGCAGTAACATCCGATGGAGACTCCACTGGACATCTGAGCCGGAATCTAAACGGTGCAACGGTACGTCGCACAAAAGCCGTCCGAGGGCCGCCAGCTTCCCGCCTGGAAGCGATCCCTCATTGACTTTCGGCATCTCGGACGATATTGACAACCCAGTTCTTTACAAACCATCAAAGTATTCAAGAAGCGTCCACATTTTTTCCAATCTCATCGTTTGATCTTCGGCGTGGGCTCGAGCACAATCGAACGCTCCCGAATCGGGATCCATGCCGAGAAGCGCCTCCGCTTCGGAAGTAGATCCAATGCTTCCGAAGCACGTCAGACGAACGCAAGGCACGAGCACTCGATGGGGTAGAATTTCAGAAGTCACATCGATATCCGTAGATTGGTCACCTCTACGGTTCCGCCAATGTCCGATGGGCGAAGAAAGGGGGGCCACAACACGAGAAACAAAAAAATCGTTTCTGCTCTTTGATAGCATCCTTTCTACTTGATTCGTGTCATCCATTTGATTTTCGTTTCGAGCGGAGGGGTTTCAGCGCTGAAAACGACCCACTTATATTTTGCAAAATAATGTCCGCAAACTTCCGACGCACCTTTTGGAGGAGTTCGCTTTTTTCTAGCTTTCGACTTTCCCGAAGCTTTGAACTTTTTTTGCATTTGTTCAGAGCGAAAGCGATCATCACAACTACTATCGGAGAAGACAAATCAAACGGACCAGCAATGGGGCCGCGATAGCACTCGCAATCGGCCCCAGAAACACCGAAGGAATTCTCCCGATCTATTTCATGAATCCACCGCTATTTCCCCGATTTTCGAAATAAAGCTCAGCGAACAGCATCTGGTACTCCTTGAGAGTTCAAGGCAGCGAGTATTTATTCCGTTTGTGTTTCGAATTCTCGAAAACATTCTGAAGAGACGCCGTCGATAAGAATATCTTTCAATTGCAAGAATTGAGGTCTTTCGCCGCTGAGTTCAAGACGGCAGCAAGAGCTGCGGTCGTGAGCAGCGATCCCTGGGCACACCTGAGGTCCAGTCAGTCATGAAACCATCAAATTTTTTCCTCCTGATCTTGGCGGCATCCATCTACTTGATCATCGGTGTTCGCCATAGCAACATAGTCACTGCGCACAAGAAGTTGCATCAAAAAGAGCTGAAGATAGCTTGAGGGATTTTAGTCCTTTCCGAATTTCATTTCTTCCGAATCCTCGTGTGATACCCTTACCCTCCACCCATACGCAGCAGACCGATTTAGTAACGGGAACTTCTCCTTCTGATATCAGAATCATCGGACATTCCTCGAAATCGGTCGAGACTGACCCTCACAACAGATCTCCGGCATCAGCGCCGCTGGATGATTGCGGAGCCCCGCTTTGTGCCCTTTCGAATCATTCTGTGTAGATAGAAGATTTTCAAATACCTACGCGGCTCAGGACGTCCACTTTCAACATTTCTGGAGCAAGCAAGGAAAATAAAAAAGGTGCTTTGGCTCCAAACGAGCGCTCATCGAACGGCATAAGAAGAACGAGCCAAGCAAGCAGAGCTTTCAAACTGACGTCAGCCCATGGGTAGACGAATGGATGGATTGATGGAAGAATGGATAGATGGACGTTCGCTAGCTCGGTTGCTCGCTCGATGGTCCGACGGCGGGTCGATAGCTTCACCCATAAAACACGACGGCAGACGGAAGGGACACCTAGAGAATTTTCGCCGGAAAGCCAATACCCTCTGGGAGAAATCCGATGAAATGTCTTCATTTCAGCTAAATTATCGATGAGCGGCGAATTCCATGAGAGAACCGTATCGATAGTATTTCTCTTCAGAATTCCATCTTCTAGTCAGCAAGCGTGATCATGGCACCAGCCCGATTCCTTCCACCAATGTTCCTGCTCAATGCGAGGAAGCAATACGAATTCCTGAGACATGGTAGCTCGACATGTCATGCCGATGACGGATAATGGTCATCGTCGCGAGAATCCTCCATACCGTGAGCAGACAATCACGGCACTTCCGTGAGCTCCACTTCCTGTATGCCGATCTCGTACCCGCCTACTTTCGAAACACTGAGCCCGAATCGTACCTACCCGACATCGGAAAATTTAACAGATCAGCGATCCCTCTGAGTTCGGTACTCATCCGATAGCCTTCGAGCGCGCGAACATGCACATCGCTCAGGCTGTTGTCCAAGCGCGAAAGGAGAGGATCGAGCTTAGATCTCCGGAGTGAAATCGGTCATCGCCGCATTAACCAGGATAGATTGCGAAGGGATTTCCCTGTAGATTTGCTTTTCTCCTACAGGCAGCCGGCCGATAAGGGGGGAAGGGAATCCCCGAGGATGGATGCGATTCACGGAAGAATACACCTGAGTATTTGGATCGGGTCTGCACTGTCATCCGCTGCCGGAGTCCGGAGAAAATCAGAGGCGCAAAAAGTGTTGAAGCCGCGATCGACTTTTCCCTGCCTTCGGAATTGGAATCGAACTACCCTGTTGGCCGTTAGGGTGGGACACTCCTCACTTCGAACAGCACAGTCCCCATCTCGCCCCTGTTGATCTGACTCCTTGCAATCGAAACCCAAACTCCGTAGCCAGTGGAGTCCACAGGATTCTTCTTGAGGGGGGGGGCGGGGGCTAGATGGGGTCCTCGCACAGGGCTGATTTCCAACATGGCGACCCGCTCCTATATCATAGTACCTATTACGGACTCTCAATCTGGGATGGGGCTATAGCCCCCCAGCCTCCCTTTGCGGACGCGCCTGTCCGAAGCCATGGAGTAGCGGAGGGTTTTCCGTACGGTAGCGGGCGGTCCGGACTGGCCGAAATAGTTTTGCTCGCTACGTGAGCCGCACCCCAATCATCGCTCCACCGTCTGTGCTTCCTCTGAGATTCCCCGAACGGGGAAAAAATGAGGGAGCCCAGGACATTATGCCCAGATCGTCTCGAGTCTCGATGAATTCCCGAAAAGCTTGCTCGAGCTCTGCTGGTCGGCAGCCTTGCTCGGGTAAGTGACCACAGCAGTTTGAACGCTGCCACGAGCGGAGACGGAACTGCCGGGAGAATGAACAAATGAATTGGAAAAAAATGTACGGGAAAAGGATGAATGAATGAATGAATGAACAATGATCCTCAACAATCGTGATGCGAGCTCGGTTAGCGGAGGCTAGCCTGCTGCTTCCAGTTCTCATTCGGAAAAGCAGTAAGGATGGACGAGCGGATGAACGAGCGAGTCAGACGCTGTCGAGGCGTTCCTCGCTGTCTGAAGTTTCAGACGAAAATGAGAAGTTTACAAATGTCTTCGGAAACACGGAAAAGCTGCACGCCGTACTAGGCTCGAGTATCGGGTTTCGCGGCTGGCAGCAGTTCATCACCCGGCGAAGGCAGCCTGAACCCTCTATAGTTCGTCCTTCTAGTTCCCAGTCGGATCATTTGTTTATGAAACCGGAGCTGATGGACTAAGGCTGTGTGATTCGTATGTGAAGGAGAGTACCTTAGTCTTCCCGGATGGAGGTTAGATAAAAATGATCTCTTCATGAACTGAGCGCCGCTTAGCCGTGGCACGACTCCCGATTCAGCTTCTGCCCAAACAATCAACCTTTGACGATTCGAATAGAACCTTGTGGGAGAATTAGTGACTTCGGAAAAGAGCCCACGATTCGCCACGCTCTGTGGGAGTACCGTCGAACAACTCTTCACGTAAGGAGGAACAGGAACATCGACCCCATCGACGGGGACCAGAAACACTGGCTGAACGTTTTCTGAACGATGGTCGAATATAGCGGTAGCAGCGATAGGGCTTGCCGAGCCGGCAGCTGCAGTAGACGCAGCCCAACAAAGCAAGCAAGTTCCACAAAGTTCCTGCACATCGACGAATCTGCTACCAGAGCTCAACGATTCCCGCCGGCACCAGGGATAATCTCGAAGCCATAACGAAAGCTCAAACTAATCCATGAGTCAATCCCCACAGCTTCTAGACGTCAGACACGTACGGAACGGCAGAGAGATCGTCATACGTAGCTTTCGCTGGTATCCTCTCGGAATCGCACGTAGACAACCTGAGCCAATGTAGCGACGGGAAAGGCTTCACTCTAAGAGAGAGACCGTGACAGAAATCCGTGAAGCTCGACCAGGGGCTTCCGAGCCCACGAGATGAGACCCCTGATCGGACTGCGCAAGTACGATAATTGCCGGAATCGCTCACGAATTCGAGGGATTAGAGGGCGGCATGCACCCTCGTCATTTTAGACCTCGGGAGAGAGCGGAAATAAGCTCGCATTATTTTCTGTCGGCATGTGTTGTGATTGCTGCTCGGCTAGTCGAATCATTGCACAAAACGAGATCGATTATCCCGAAGGAGTCTTCAGGTGAATTGCTCTGCCTTGTCCAGCGTTCGACCAACGACCTATGGGCTTGAAGAGAATCCAGACCCGAAGTGAACCGTGGTCGTCCCGTCGCACGACTGCGACGACCCAAACACCTGGACGGCCGTTTGTCGGACTTCTGCAACGTCGATAGAGCTGAGGGCAGCCCCGTCTGCGGGACGTACAGAGCCGCGGAAATCCTTCCAGTGCTCGAATAGTGTTGAGGACACTCACCTTCTTGTCGTCTCCAGCGGTGGCTACAACTTTCCCACTTTTCCTCCCGATGGAAATGCAGTTGACCACAGCGCCGTGCGCCACAAATTCGTGCACTTTTGTTGCTCTGCGGGCCGCGCACGCCATTCTCTCAACGTCGCACGTAATTCCTATAGATTCATCCACGCTAGCTGGTTAATTGAGGAACACTGACAATAAAAAATAAAAACAACTGTAGTACTCATTGAACGGGCTTTCGCTTCGGCTCGTCCACATACGACCAGAGCCTCTAGCAGTCTGAAGCAAAACTCACGACGAACGTCCCACAGTCACGAACCGTGGCACTATCGGAGAGAGAGTCACTGTGTGAGAGGGTATCAAGGAAATTCTGTGCCGAGTGACTTTTTCCCGAATCTCCCCTCTGCCCGCTCTCCTTGGGAAAAAAACGCGACCCCGTCCCGAGAAAGCGTCCTCTGAGCGGTCGGGAATAAGCAGAGCTCGTAGCTCGCACTTCTCCGCGTGAATGGAAGAAGAGACCGTTCCGTGATTTAGTTTTAAGGGACGGAACGGTGTCAGATTCACGCTGATCCTGCGCGAAAGGATCGTGGCTGGAGTTTTCGGAAAATTGTTGGCAGTTGGGAGCTGCGCATCCGTACTCGCAAAACCATTAGCCGGGGCCCGGATCTCAGCGGTACACGATGGACCAGCTCGGAAACTACGTGAGACAGATGAGTTCCGGCAGCATGGAAGAGCACTCAACGTTCCGAAGAGCCGGAGTTCCTCTCTCGTCTCTGAACTTCCGAAAGAACTTATGCACAGTGCTGGGCTGTCGAAAAATGAGTCAAGATCCTCGCGGACGACACCCTCACGGCGGAGGCAGGTAGGGGGGGGATGATGGGGCAAGGATGAGCTGATAGGAAACACCATTCAGCTTGAGAGTTCTTGAGGAGGGAATTCGACGTTTCTCCTCGATCAGCCTGACAAGGAGGCCCTCTTCCCCCGATAGTGGCGCTCTATCGGCGTGAAAGTCTGAGAACTCTTTCTAGCACTCCCCTTATCGGCTCGGATCGGGAGTCGACCGAAGATTTATACCAATGGATCCCACGACATGATCATGTCGAGGCTCGTCGAATCCTCTCGTCACAGGGGTCTCGTCAACGGAGAACATTGTCGCGTTCAATGATCATCTTTTCGCGAGGCGTATGGTTCTCGTCTCGTCACATCCCATGGGATCGTCGAGAAAACTTTGTCGCTCGCTGACTTAAGCACTCGCGGTGCATCGTGCGTACCACAAAGCGAGACCAGAGATTCATTCGCTCCGGTCACTTGACATAAGCCCCCAGGGTCCGACGGCCTTCACTGGTCCAGTGTGGTGGCGGAACTTCCCGCGTGAAGTCATGCATCTCATCCACACGTTTCGCGATAAACAGGCGTTTTACTTTATTGGACAGCGAGAAGCATCGATCGGTGGACTGTGTCGCTGGCTCACGCTCATGACACCCGACAGATAGCCGTAATTTACTTGAAGGAGATCCCTTTCCGGCTGATCTCCACTCCATGCTCCGGGTCCCGATTCGTCTCGACCTGGACGTCCTAGGAGCTCATCGTATTGGGCGTGCGCGACCTTCGATCGTTGACATAACGAGTGCGAAAGATTGTAGATTTCCCCAGAGGAATCGGCGCAGTCTCCGTGTCAAGGTTTCTCCTCTATGTCGCGGTCCGAGACCTTGCCGCATTCAACGCACGAGGATCGCTCCGTCGGGATCGGCGGGTTCTCTCGTTTATCGCGGCTATTTCGTTTGAGAAGTGAGCCTCTGGCATAAGAGCGGATACTCGCACGTCGCGAACGAGTAATCTGGACATTTCAGCGAGCCTCATGCGACTGAATATTAATAGAGCATGGGGCTGCCTTGACCCGGCCTCTAAGAGACCTTGACTTCGCCCTGCGAGGTGATGATGAGCCTCCGTTCGGGGACTCGACCTGTGGGCTGCGCGTTCGAATTCAAGGGATAATTTTCGAATTCCATGCCGGTGCAGAAGGCGTATCCCAGGGATTTGCGTCGATTTGGGGATTTGAGCAAATATGGATCGATACCTCCTGCCCGCCTCGCTAGGAGCGATCCCTATGCCGGGGACGACACAGACGGCACATGTGTGTCCTAAATCTGGTTTCGAAAACCTGATTTCGCTACGGATACTCCGTTCTCAGCATCTGCTACAATTAGTTTGAGCGGGATTTCTGGTCTTCTACATTACTGATGCGAGCTTGTCAAATATTACGCCATGAGTCGTCGACGCAATCCCCGGCAGGCTCCGCGCTCGACTCAGCGATGGTTCCAATGTAATTAGTCCATCTCGGGAAAACAAACACAGGATCCCTGCGGTCGTTCTGGGATAAACTCCCGCCGCGAGTCCGACTCGAAGCCGCTCGATCATGATTGTCAATCGAATGCAGTGGTCGAGATGGCTGAGCTCTCACGAGAAACTCTGGATTCGAAGACCTCCTGTATTTGCATCACTCCCGCTGCCCACCCAGGGCTGTGAGCATCCATCAGTTTGCGGCAGGAGCTCTCGCTGTGCGTATTATACCCACGGGTTCCCTTACCGTTTGGAGAAACGAGCGAATCAAAGTCCCGAACGGAACAAGGTTCGCAACCGTGCTCCAGACTATTGGTTGGAGTCCTCACACGACAATCGCTTCAAATTGAGGAAGTGCTCCGAGATCTCAATTTAGGATACAATTCAGGTCGTCTCTCGTCGATCCGTCCTCTTTGTTGATCAGATAAAGACTCGTTCCGCCGACCTCAACGCTTATCTCCGTCCTACCCATGCTGGTGAATTGGTACAAACAACGATCACTGAGCTTTTTATTCATTTCCAATGACCCACTTCGCTGTTCGCGTCGATTTACTCCAGTTCCAAGCTTCGAAGGATCGCACTCGTCATCCTCGAACACTCAAGAGTTGCTCCCCTTGTTCTGATCGAGGCTCTGTTCGAATGATCGAGTCTCTGATCGGACACTCGCGGAAATTCGTGCAGAGAAGTCACCGCGGAACGATTCTGTCCGTAGTGCGAAGTAGAGCATTTCTCGGAGGGAATCAGTCGAAACCTATCCGGTATAACACTCGATACAATACTGCGCGGAGCTCTGCAGGAAGCTGTCCATGGGTATGTGCCGAAGGGCTCCGCTGCGTCCACGCCGGAGTGAGATGTAAGATTCGCCAGGTTCAACGGCGGCTCGCCGACTGCGCGTGACTTTCAGAAATGTGTGCGGCTATCCAGTTGACTATAGCCGTGAATGGTGAATAAAATCTTGAATGAAATCCTCTACCATATACATATATTGGGTCCATTATTTGAAATGAGGGAGGAGGCTCAGTTGCCGAGATCGGCTGATCACTAGCGCAATATTCAAAAATTGATGCGAACGCTTTTCCTCAGCTTTATTTACATGATGATTGCGGGTGGGGAGGAGCTGCTAGCTCGCCCATCTCGATGCTTTCGCGAATCGCCGCAATTCTAGTCCTTGTTCTGGATGAATGGCTGAGCGGATCCCGAAGCCTCCGGTTCGACCGTAACGAGGGTGAGCGAGTTGGAGAGGGCACCGAGGCTCAATTTATTCCAGGCTCTTTGACTAATGGGGAAAAATCTTGCTTGCACATCAGCTGCGCGATGGAAAAACTTATTCCGTGGGACCGCTTCATTAAAAGCGCAGAGCTAGTGTAGAGAAGGGAGCCGTCTACATTAAATATTTATCGGCTTGTTGATTGGTAAATGATCGTGGATGTCGAACGGAGTGATGCCTCTGATCTTCGTCTCAATCGGGGTTGCGTAAACATCTCCGTACAGTTCTTCGAGACCGATCTCGGGGGATGTCTTAGCCAGTTCAGTGGCCTCGTCGACCTGCGAGTGCATAAAACATCATGAGCCTTACGGTAGTTCTTTTGAGGAAAATAAACTCTTGACGACCAACTCGTATGCTTCACCTCTTTGCGGACTTCCTGGTCGATCTCCTTAAGTTGTTCCGAGGTAGCCAGACCTCCCGAAAGAATTCTGTCCTTGAAGGAAGTGATCGGATCGCGGGACTGGCGAACTTCTTGGATTTCCTCTCGGGTTCGATAACTGCGGAATACAATGTATAAGAATTTTTCGAATTCGGATATAATCAAGAAGTATCAGGGGCATCCACGGTCAGTCTCACCTCGTTCCCGGGTCGGACATCGAATGTCCGTGATACCTGTACGTGGCGATCTCCATAACGTATGGACCATTACCCTTGCGGCAGTTCTCAACGGCGAACCTCGTCGCTTCCCGCACCGCCAGGACGTCCATTCCATCAACCTGAAGAAGGATACGGAGAAACCCTCAGCTGAGCCGTCCTCTGATCAATTGCGAGGAGCGAAATAGCAACCAGCAGCGGATTCCATTGAACTGACCCAAATTCCAGGGATGTAATCTCCTCGGGTGTAATATTCCGTCGAAGCAGCCGCGCGCTCGGCGGACGTCCCCATGCCGTAACCGTTGTTTTCACATATGAAAATCACCGGCAGTTTCCACAGCTTGGCCATGTTGTAGGCTTCGAAAACCTGTACCGCAGAAGAGAGATTAAGTCCGAATCTGTAGGAGTCGTGATGCGCATGCTTGGAGGTATATATTTCCGGAACCAAGACTTACCTGGCCCTGGTTCGCGGCTCCATCCCCGTATAGAGACAAGCAAACGTTGTCGGTTCCCCTGTACTTATAGGACAGAGCCACGCCAGCACCCAGAGGGACTTGGGCACCAACGATTCCATTTCCTCCGTAGAAGCCGGGACAATACACGTGCATGCTGCCTCCCTTTCCACGTGCACAGCTGATGGATGGATGGGACTATGATAAATTCCGGCTCCAGAATCCCGCAAATTCGAGGGCGCAGAATCATCTGAGAAATTCTTAGAAGACTCACCCGATATTGCGTCCGGTCAATTCACCTAGGACCCCCTTGACAGGCACCCCACGGACGTAAGCCCATCCATGGGCACGGTACGCGGTTATAACACCGTCGTCCGGCCGAATCGCTGCCTCCATTCCGACTGCGCAGGCTTCCTGAAATTCGACCGGACTTTCGGTGTGACAATGGTCTCACAGTAGCAAAGACTCGGAACGGCTCCAAACAGAGGAGATTATTTTTCTTCAATCTGGGACTGCGAAGTTTCCTGACCTACCTGACCAGAGTAAAGATGGCAAAATCCTCTAATGAGTTTGCTCTTGTACATCGCATTCGCAGCCGTTTCCATTCTCCTGATCACCACCATTTGTCTGTAGAACTTCAATGCGTCCTCGGCGGTCACCGTGACCGAGGTGGACGGTCCGTCCTCATTGATTTTGTGCAGTTTGTACGGCTGGATAATTTTAGAAATCAATGTCCTTTCCATTCGTAACTAGGTGGACAAGCGGGTAGATGCCTGGGAAACAGATCGGATGGTCTCCCTGCTTCGAAACTAACCTTTGTTTGGAAAGAAGCTTCCGAGGCATATCGTTGCTGAACGACGATCGGCAGTCTCCGGCCCGTGATCGCCACGCACTGGCGTAAGGTAGAATGCATCCTTAGCTTTCACCGGAGGACAGAACCCTGACGAGGAAGAGTACCGTTATAACGCGACTACACCGAGAATCTCTCCGTAGATCTCACCCATCGGGAGATCGGCTGCGATTGACATTACTCCCAGCTCCTAGGGAGCCAGAGCTATCGACCAGAAGCGTGGAATCGAAGGTCGTGGTAGATGACAAATTCATCTGAGATCGATTCGCGCAAGTCTCAGCTTCTCCCCGGAACTCCACAGCTCGGTGTGCCAGTGAATGATCGAACCTCACGATTATCGTCAGGTGCTCTACCCACCTCGCGTTCCGTAGTCAACAACCGAGGAGACTTATCGTAGCTCGCAAGAAGACGAGAGTCCTCCCAGCAATCGAACGACACCACCGTCAACAAAAGCACTTCTGGCGCTGAAGGTCAGTTCCCGTTCGATGCACCGTAAGCTTTTAGAGCAATTTAGGAAGGGAACAAAATGAAGATCGAAGAGAAAGTCTGATTGACCTGGGTCGACAATGAATCCTCCTTGGTACCGTATGCCTCCGGAATTTAGTTCTCGATCATCCGCGATCAATTCGGATGAACAGTGTTTGAGTTTCAAATTCAGATGGTACAACGAACGGGTCAGCGCTTAGCGCCGGGCGACCGGACTGCGTTTAGTCCCGCTGAAAGTTTACGTGTTACAACAATCGAATGCTCTGTTAGCCGGCTGAATAGTACGAAGAGCTCGTTTTCGATATTACTCACCTTTTCGGGTTGAACGATGACTCGGATCGTGAGTCTGAGTTTAGCTGCCCTCTTCTTCGGTCGAGTGCGAGGCAAGTTCTGTTCCTGGAGCTCTAAAAATTCCCATTTAAGCGAGAAATTGCCATCGATAAGATCAAATGTCATATATACCTATTCTCCATCATTCTCGCCTTCGATCCCATGTCGCTGATTCTACCTTAGCCCAGGCCTCTGACGAGGCTTGTACGGGCTCAGCTCGATAATTCCCCGAGAATGATCCCGAGATGCCAGCCCGCCTGGAATGATCATTGAATCGATTTTGCCACGAATTCCGGCAGGTCTAGACTACGTAACTTGCACCTCAATCGTGAAGTTGGAGAATCAAAATTACATGGTGAGGCTCCATTCACATGATGTGAAGTACGGGACCGGGAGCAGACAACAGGTATGCGAGCTTCGGAGAGCCTCGGGGGCATCCACGGTGCTCCTTTCGATCCATTGATGCTGATCTTCCGAGCGCACTCGGCTCATGTTGAGCACCGTTCATGGACGGAGCTCTAAACCACTTCTTCCCCTCCAGTCTATCACAGGGACCCACGAAAAAGACGATCACAATTCCTATTGGGTCATAAAGGGAACTAAAGACAAGCCGTGCGGCCGAGGCGACCCGATCAAATGCAACGACATCATCCGAATCGAGCATTTGGCAACCCAGAAAAACCTTCATTCTCATCACTTCTCATCGCCCCTCTCTGGTGAGAATTTTTTTCGGAAAGACTCCGATGGTCAACTCGGATTGCAATGATGAATGCTGATTCACGTCGTCGATCAAATGGGCTTCATGAAAAAAACTGGTTCTCACCATCGATCGACTGTACGGATAACTCCGATCGAATTTCTCATAGGGCATCAAGAAATCTCAGCATTCGGTAAGAATGGCGACGGTGACTCGGGCGATCACTGGAGCGTGATTTGTTCGAACGTTTATTGGGAGAGAGACAACTCGGTGCGACTCAAACACGTGGATACGGAAATGTGAGTTCGGACTCGGAAGAAATTATTCGAAGCAACCGAGCATAGGAGTCCTCTACTCGGTGGCTCAAGTCATGGGTCGCTCAGAGCTGGCGCGGGAAGCTGAGAGCGATCCAACTCATGTCTTGATCAGCGATCATTTATTGAATAGAATTCAAGTATGTATCGTGTCCCCAGGTGGCTTTCATTATCCGGGCAGTCTTTCGGGCGACCTATCAGCGGTCAGATGGAGATCATCGGCGGCAGTTACGCCGACTCTTCTTCCTATTGGCGAGCTCAGGAAGGGGTCTACGTGAAACCAGCTGATATTGGAATGGGTTCATTCGTTCGAGACGCATCCAGTAAAATCGAGCACAACGAACTGTGAAGATTTGAGACTTCGACTGTAATCTAACATTTTCCTCGACGCAAAGAACTTCCGCGTTCGCGGTTTTTTGTTGCTTGTTTTCTTAGGCCACAAAAAGCTTTACTCCCTTCTGGGGAATGGCGAAATCGAGCCCGTCAAGAATTATTATTTATTGGAAGTTCAGAGGCCTTGGTTCAGGCATCGATGTCGCAGAGGAAAGTTTCTGTAAATACTAGACCTGTGAAATGAGCGAATAAATGAGTGATATCGAAGACTTCCTTTACGAATCGTTCCGCGCGCGAACTCTGCCTATGACGGCCCCCGTCCGCAACGACGGGATAAATAACTAGCCCATGCGCGGTGAATGAAGGGAAATTCTAAGCTCCCATTTATTCTGCGGCGTAGTCGACTCCATAATCTGCAGATATTTATCGTCAACACGGAAGTCCATCTGGTTCTCGCGCCGTTCGTGAACGGACAGTCCCTGACTCTTCTGAGACAGATTCTGATCGAACACGATCGTGGGAATCGCTGGTTGCAGTGAAACAATTCTCCGAAGGGCCGGGGATCGGCGAAGAGAGTTCAGTCGTTACACGAACCGAACTTCACCGGAGTATAGCATGTCTTGCATACTAGGTTGCAGCACCCGTTCGTGAATCTACAATGGCAGTAATCCCTCTTGATCTCGAACTTCTCGACGTAGCCTCTGCCGCAACATAGATACCTGCGGAAAATCGCTTTTTAAATTTTGGAGCAGAACTCTCAATAGCTGACGATTTCCACATGACCGCGGATGCGAACCATTATTATTATGTACATCATTTCCGAGAACCGGGGTAATGCACTCACTCTGCGTTTTCTTCTGTACATCTGCGTCCGGCGGTTCCGAGAGAGCCTTGTGCAGGATCATAGTTACAGTAGTCGGTAGCATTCGACACGAAAATGAGGTCTCTGCGTTTTATCCGCTGTTTTGCGTGCCGTCGCAGGTGGGGGAGATGTTTGACGACGGCGCGATTTTCAGTGAGCGAGTTTATTGAGTTCGGTCCATTCTCAACCTCGACCCATGAATGCGTGGCATTCATGTGAACGTGACGCGCGTTCCGGTATCTAGAAGACGAGATACTCGGACTACAGCCGATCGGAGCGGTTAAGGATCCGATTTGCAGTGTATGGCACCTACCGTTTGAGGATGTGCTGACCTATTTCTTCAAAGGTTCCGAATCGTTTGTAGCAGGTCTTGAATGTGCAAGAACCACTCGTTCCATGGCATCGGCAGTCGAGCTTGCGCACCAGCTTCAGAGCCTTCGGATACATGCCGTTGTTGAACATAGAGCGTGGAAACGAACCGCTTTGAGTGAGCCTCTCCGAAAACGACGGGCGGCTTGAATGGAATTGGAGCAACTATCGGTCGTCTCATACCAGTCTTCCAGCGTTGTAGTTGTGCAATGTCATCTGACTCGAAGGATGCTGCGACTTTTGCAGATCGGTGTCCAAGAATTTCCGTACAAACTTCATTGGGGCTCTCACGTCCAAGGAACAACCCTCCCATTTGTGGTTTTCGACTCCGGACGGACGGTTTCCGGGCCAGGAATGCTCGCAAGGACAATCTGAGAGCGAGCCGCGAGCGCAGGCCCTCGCGAGAGCTGTAGTCATCGATGCGGCGGAAAGAGCTTCTACGAAAGATGCCTCCCGGCTCCCTGATTCACGAGAGAAAAGAATGCAGCTCGTGGTGGAGTTTCTCAGTTCATCCCTCCGTAAAATAAATTTTCGATCAGCACCCATCCTTGCTTATCTCTGTTTACCTTCTTTCAAAGTGTGCGTCAAACCAGCGGGCCCGGTCCTCACAGAATAGCAATTCCATCTATCGTTCTCAAGGAGCCTTTTGCATAACTTCTCAGCTCTCAGGATGCCTTCCTCCAGCAAACTCAGATGCATGGGATGAGATCTACATAATTGACGCTGGGACCTGCTGAGCAAATTTGAGCACGCGGATATTTCTGCTGACGGGGACACCGAGTTCAATAGATCTTCGGTTGAAGAGTCGTCAACGAGATTTTCGTGAGACTTGCATTCGGAGATCAGAAAGCTGGAATATAAAAAAAACATCAGTGAGTCTACGACTCGGAAGTTCGGAAACCGTGGGGTCAGTTGAGGCTGACGATCACGGAAATCATCATTCTGACTTCGGCAAAAGACTCGCTGTTCCACAGAGTGGTCGCGGATTCCCAAGCTTCTCCGCAGCCTCCTGCCGGAGGAGCTAGAATCAGAGATGAAATTGAAGCCCATATTCATTCAGAATTCGAGTCGGGAGGGGGAGAAGGCATTTCCTCCGTTTTATGTATCAGTTCTAATCGCCGCAATGACGAGCGTTCCTCGTGGGCAGCTCTACTTCGCAGTGGTCGTGACGGCTGTCAGTAATTTGCGAGAAGCTTATTAGTCTGCATTCGGCAGCGGTAGTGAGTTCTGTCGGAAATTGTTTCAAAACTCAACCACCCAGCTCCCAGAAACAAATCATTACGAACGGTCATTCAAGAGAGGCTTTTCGGCAGCTGGCTAGTCGCTCTTGGATTCGCTTTCCGCATTGCCTTCGCTGTCCCCATCTGAAAATCTGGGGCCCAGAGCGCGGAAAAGAATGAACAGGATCTCAGTCAGCCAGCGTCAACGCTGTTCGACGTGACGGTCAGAGATCCTCGGCACTAGGCGCTCATGGATCAGGTGTAGCATCTATGAGTTGCAGGGACCATGCCGTGAGCGTCGCCAGAGCTCTACCCTGCCATCTAACATGGGTCTCGCATGAAGTCCGTCAACTCGGGTCATGAGCTCGTGGAGCAGATAAATTCATAATTAGTGCCGAATATTCTTCCCTTTCCCTGAGCTAAGCCATCGACGTTGCAGGAGCAAAGAAAGTGAGCAAACACCAGGACCAAACATAGCCTTGCTTGGCTCGAGTGACAGAACTTCCGATTTGATTGTTCGACGGCAGTAACGACTCCGTGAGCTACACGGTGATCCAGCAGATGATTTTGCCCCGATTTCTTCGAGAAAAATTATTTGGCTTCGTTCGGGGAGCGTTTTTGAGCCGAGATGGGCATAAAGCATTTCGTGGATTAGAACTTGGGACAAGTAGCGAGTCGAGTTCTGAGCTGCGGCTTCGTTTGGAGGCTGTTGCACCCGAAGACTGTCGAGGTCCGATTCCCCAGTGATAATGCGTGGACATCAACGCACCGGGGCCCACACAAAGGACTGGAGGCGTTGACAGATTGATGAAGAATGACTCCAATGGTAATCATGGAATATTTTCCTTCCACGAAAAGAATCCTTTTGATGGAGTCGTTACTAACTTCTGCGAATCGCGTATGCTTCCCCGAAAGGGAGGAATATCTGCGAAGCGATCCGATGGAGGAGTCCCCTTTCATCGTTCTGTGCTCCAGACAACCCAATGTCCGAAGTCGTGTCCGATCAAATATTCAGTGATGAGTCTTCGCTTCTCACAATTCCTCCATCAAATACTCATCCGAGTGTTTGCGTGAAGCCACTCAGCCATTCAAGAGGATCTCAAGTGTTTCGCTCGACAGTCTTGACTTTCTCTCTCTTCTCTCAATATTCGAGCCACTCGATTAGTCACCGGTACAAGTGTTTTTCCTTCTGAAATTGTTGCCAGGGAATTTTGTCGATTTGATTTGTGTATCCCTCAAGATTCGCTCCCGAGTCTCCTCGAGACCCGAACTGATGGCCGATGCGTTGTGCGATTGCTCAGATCTCTCTGGACTCGCTCCGACCAGGCATAGAAGGAGCAATAGTTTTATTTCCACGCAAGAATTCTCTTGATCGCTCCGAGTAAATGAGGGTCATCGCTAAGGCAATTTAATCGGCGAATTTTACAGGCTGTCTAATGATTCTCGTCACGTGCGCACGGAAAATACGACGACTGCCCACCCACTCGAGGCTCTGAACAGCGATGAAAGAGAAGTCCCTTTCTGCTGGCGGGGAGCTCATGGAGTCAAATTCCACTCTGCAGAAATCGTGATTTAGGCAACGCAAAGTACGTGTCTCTTACATGGGGATACCTTCAGAGGAATGCGGAGTCTTCGATAAGCGGAGCGAAGTCGTTTGAGCCCGGTCTCGAATTGATCTTTCTTCGTAGACCGGGAAAACTAGGGACTTTTTCGACGCGAATCGCGTTCCCCGTCAGACTCGTTGGATTCGCGAGTAGAATAGTTCAGGATTGGTTTTAGTCGGTTAGTTCGAAGGTCAAGGGAGAGATGAAAACTCACAGGAGCCACAGAACCACTCGAGTCTGTTGCGGCAGAAGCTTCATCCTATTTCTCTTGTATGCGTCACTGGAACTTCGGTAACCTTTGTTGGAGACGTCCGCATCACAACGGAAAGCTCGAGCGCGAGCTTCGACTTCAGGGAAGACGTGTTTTCGAGTATTTGAAGTGAGAGCGCCGTCACTCACAGTTCTCGACCTGGCTGAGCGGGCTGAACGAATCAATCACAACTCCAAGAAGTGGCTCTCACTCAGTGGGCACACTGTCTTTGATCGGCGACCCTTTACGACCGTTTTCCCCTCGTTCTCCTCCTTCAGAGGTCTATAAATTATGAAGGGAGGCAAGGTTTAAAAAATATTTACACCAACCATTGATAGCTCTCCCGGAAACAGTCGATGGTGGTGGCGTTGATTCACCGAGGGCTTTTTTTCGCTGGTCGTAAACTCCGGGAAGGTCCTCCCTCTTCCACGATGCGCTGATGGTTCAGGAAGAAACTTTCTCGAGAGACATCTCTCGGTCGGTCGACGCAGTTTGCATTTGCAGCAGCAGTTTCCCGAAAGGATTGCACTTGAAGTGACATCAATCGCTTCGTGCCCATGCGAGGCCGGAGACCTTTGAATTTAGCGACTGACGGCGTCACCCGCCCCAGCAGTCACTCAGTTTCAGACAGTCGCACCGACTGGATGCCAGACACCGATTTCAATTACGGCACGACCGCAAACGTCGACGCACACATCCTGCTGTTCTCTGAACACTTTGCCAAGGTAGGCGAAATCGCGATAGCTCGTCAATTTCGGAAGCTTTGACGGGAAGCATGCTTGAAGTTTTCTGCCCTCGCCTTGACCGGCCCTCAATTCTGGAGAGGGCACTTTTTCCAATTGGTGAACTTTCTCCTTGCTTTCGACTTCTCGCTCTCGCTCTGCGGGATTTTCTCACGGAGCGCATAGGACGGGCGAGAAATTCTGCGAATGTCGCTTGAACTCAGATTCACGCCTGATCTAACTCGGTCCGTCGGCGAAAAGTTTCGACACGCCGGAGGGAATCCATGAACATCCATAAAGCTGATGTATAGTCGCCTTCCATGGATATGGAATGCATTGGGCAGTCAGAATCCCTAAACTTTCGGAATCGGTGGTGGGGGCAACGCTCACGTGGTCATGTGCTCTGCACTGCGATCACACATCGCAAGCATCCTCGCCTGGACCGAGTGCACGTTCGGAATTGCAAGTTTCTAGTATCGTGATTTCGGAAGATTTGCATACGCATGAGATACAGATCCGAGAATCCTGAAACATTGGATATAATGCTCGGCTCAAGTAGCGGCGGGCGATGTCCGTGAATGGTCATGGCACGTTCGTCAACGGGCGCCCTCAGCGAGCCAGTGATGAAGATATGAAAGCCATGAGCTTCGTCTAGAGGAAAAGGCTACGTTCACGGTGTTTCCTCCTTGATGAATTATAGAGATTCACGCTGGGTCTCCCAAATGCTCGGAGATCTCTCGCGGCTGCCCGGAGTTCGAGAGAAACGCACCGACATCCAATTGAATATTCTCGGAATGGCCGCCTATCGATGTTGAGCTCGTTGTGGCAGAATACAGAAGAGCATGAGAACCTACGAACGCAGATCCAGTCTGAGAAGTGTCGCACTCCCGCACCGGAGGAACATCATCAGGTCGGACTTCTCCGCGGGCTCGAGCGGTCCGATAGCAGGATTTTTATCATTCCGAGCCGTCCCAGATAGGCCATAATTGTTTAATCACCAATCAAGGCCGCTCTGGAGTCGGGATTCGAGGCGCCAGATCCCTGAAGATTCTTACGCGGATCAGACGATCATCAAGGTCAAGGACGGAGGCCGTCGTGCCCGGTGGGCGCGCTCTTCTAAAACGCCCCGAAGCTCGTCTAATGACGTCGAGTGAATAGAATCTAAGAGAATCCTATCGACTGGCAAATGGGATTAATTACTCAGAAAATAAATCGTATCTTAACAGTCTAGAACGTGCTCTGACTTGATTGCATCTACTACCAGCTCTAATGTGGATACGCCCCGGAGGGATTCCGCTCCACGGACAGCAGTGGTGCTTGAGAATGTTACTCATGAGAATGCTTCCATCCTTCCTATCCGACCTCGTCAGGGAAATTCAGAAATGCTTATTGAGGTATGCTCTCAGCTTCGTGAAGAATCCGCTATCAGCTGCCCATTAATATCCATTATTGATACGACGGTAATTATTTTAGGCTAGTCTCGACCGTCATGAAGAACTCATGTCAAGCAGCCAGTTCATCGCCACTATTGCTGCTCCTTTCCCTGCCATGGGATCAGGATTAGAGAAACTCACTGTTTTGTGGAGGGAGACTCAGCAGTAATCGTGGAGGAATATCGCCTTCATCTCCCCCATCGAAAAGGCGTGCGTTAACACCGTCCACCGGATCATTGAGCTGCTGCTTGAGGCTGCGTCCAGAGTCCACGGGCCCAGGTCCGACGGTTTCTCGGATTATTCTGACATTTTGGAGCTTGACGCCTAGAGGAAAGCTCGAGAGCAATCACAAAGCCGACTTATTCTCGAAGAATTCGGAGGAGCTTGCGAATGCTGCGTACGATCGGATCTCATCCTCTGGGAGTCGGTCGACTCGGTCTCTTCCCTAAGTGCCTACGAAGACTTGACGGACCTCCTCGTCTGAAAACTTTTTGTGGCTTGAGCCGATGTTGGTGATCCGAAGCGGATCCAACGAGAAGACGGTTCATCAAAACTGTCGCGAATGGCCGTTCAACTGCGAGGGGAATCGTAACGTCGAAGGTCTTCGTCGGAGAATGTCTTGTCTCGATGATGTCATGGCTAGTGTAGCCCCATACTGCACAGATTTGAAGATTGACGGGGATTTTCCGTTCCGATCATCATCACGCCATCTGTGAAGTCATGAGCTAAGTACAAGGCACAGTGAAACCTGCGTAGATAGACCAAGGGAGACCACCGAATTGTGCCAGATCATATCTTCGGGCATCGATTCGAAATCTCAAAACGATGGACGACCTGTTTACGTGGACTGGATTCTGAAGCAATCTCTCGTTATCAATGGAACAGGACGAGACGCATCCCACTTTCATTAGTCACCACACCGAAGGCATAGAAGGTGGACCCATCGGCTGTCTGGATTATTGATCGGTGACGCTATGGTTATGAATTCGCGTGCCCTCATGCGGTTCACGTCATTGCCACGAATGCTCTGTCTTATAATGGTAGAGTTTCCACCGAGGGAGATTCAGGAAGCACAAGTTGAAGCTTTTCAGTCTCCAGGTGCTACCTGTGTAAAGAGGGATGCCACTCCGCGGGGAAGGAATGCCTTGAAACGGGTGTGCGTCGCTGATTGTCGCTCTTGAGCTACCATAGTTATCCATTCTATCCGCCCACAGAGAGCTCACTCTGCACCACTGATTCTGCACTTCTGAGGGACGAAATATGGCATATGTCGAAATATTTCTCGAGGGGGCAAGGGTCCCCGGGACTCGTGTACCCTCCTCTAAGTCACTTCACAAGCGGTAAGGCAATCCCGAATACGTTCTGCGAAAGAATCACAATCGGGCGAGTCAGAGCTCCCAGACAAAATGGAGGGAGTAACCATGACCGCTGTATGAAAAAGAGTTGCGTCCATGATCGATTATCACTTGGAATGACACCTGATTAACCGGGCTCATTGGGGAAAACTGTGTTCTGATAATGTGTCACCCCCTTAGGATACTTGATCCCCAACCACTCTCGATCCATCCAGATACGCACCCGCGGGGAGAGACACGCATCTGTGGGGAATAATACCGGCGGTTGCCTGTTGCGAGAAAGTTATCCACGGGAATTGGATCGCCGTCATCCCCACGTACCTCATCGATTTCGATTCGATCACGACAATCCACCATCAGGCATCAGATGCTCATATTCTTCACAGGGCTGCGTTTGTCGGCCCTGTCTCCAAGCGGCGCTCCGCTGCGGCCTCGCGTCGGATTGCTCGCTGAGAGCAGGACGGGAGTGATTCAGTCAGAGCGAGCTACTGCTGTGAGGTAGGACACGACTCTGGAAGAAAAACCTCTTCTTCGATGTGATCTGCACGGACATCAAACCCTCCAATAGAGCCAACTCTGTGAGTTGCTCCCCATCCGGACTGAGGCGCAGGTTTGTCCGGTTCGACTCAATGGCCCTTCCGAAGGGATGCTATCGCTCATCTCCCTCCGAGGTCCCGGCTAGCCCTCACGGATCGGAGGTTTCTCATTCCACGCCACAATAGTAGACCGCAGGCCTCTTACAGAGTCGCGGGAGCCTCAATTCGCGATGTTTATAGACTCATAGATCGCTTGGGTGAACTCCTTCTGACCTAAATTGCTCCCGTATGCGGAGCAGCCTGACTTGCAGTGATCTTCGACCCAGAGCATGGCCTTCGTAATCTTGTTTCCGATTCCATACGTTCCATGACATGACGAATTTGATGGAAATCATTAAACCAATAGTCAAAGTTATCCGCGCCGAATCGAATGGGTGGCGAAGTCGAGATGGTCCGTAGACCATTGTCTGTGGAGACTCTACGAGCTCTTCGGACCAGGGAGCCACGGCGACGGATCGAGCTGCTGCCCGAGGACGACAGGACAATGAGGAGAACATAACGAGCTGAAAAATTTGTCAGCTGCAAACCCGTGCGAGGGGTTGTCTCTCGTCTGAGATAGGCTCCATACCGCACCCCTGTACCTCTTGTGGAGAGGATATCGTCGACGTCGATCTGTTGACCCGGAAGGGGGTCGTCGCTCTCTGGCGTCCTTCTCGAATTTACGCAGACAGCTCGCAGACGGAGTTCAGGCTGCGTGGACTCTTCAATTATAATTCATCCCTCTTGACTATTCGGGGATACAGGTAGGACCCTCGAACGGAAGCTGAGACCGTTCTGTGAAAGGATCTTGATTCGAAAAGAGCTCGTCCGGCTGACACTTCTTGGGCCGGTAAATGCTCCAGCCGTAGTTTCCGTGGAACCATGGGGTCATTAGCTATGTACGAGGTGCACTTAAAGCTTCGTGGAAGAACCACCATCAAATGAGAGTATCCGAGGCATCGATCTTCATTCCTTGGCACCGACTCTGCTTCCGTCCCAATTATTTATCGCTGTGCGAATTCGACATTTTTTATGCAGAGCATCGCTCTCTTTTCTATATGATTGAGCAGGTGCGGAATGCGTCAATGTAGTCGACGTTGGCTTGCTCATGCTGCACCATACCGCGCTGAAGAAGTTGTGTGGAGATCGATAGCACTGCGCAGATCTGCGGTCGAAAATGGGGGGTCTTTTTCGACGCTGATCATTCTCCAATCGAGGAACCCTCTCGCCTGTCGAAAAATTCGAGAAGAGGCAGAGGCTCTTGTCGTTTTCTTTTCCGGCCCATTTTTTCACTCTCGCCATAGAGAAGACTATCGGGGGAACAAATCACACGGGGATGGAAGCCTTGTTCTAACTCATCGCCTCAAAGTACAATCACGGCGGAAAGCTCCAACCACAGACATTTTTTCTTCGAAGCGGTCTAAGAACGCGGCTCAGCTTCCGAAGGAACATTTATTTCGAGAGCCCTCAGGGCGAAGATGTGCAGATGAGCTTCGAGGTCAAGAGTTGGCAATCTAAACAGATTTCCTGTGCTACTTATTGCTTCTCGATCTGCGTTACAGAAGCAGCTTAAGCTTCGAGGAGCTCGGGCTCCGTATAAACGATTTCGGAGCCCTGATTGAGCGCTAGAGACAATCGTCTGAAATATTCGCAGATTCACAATCGAAACGACGAGTCGGACGAGCCACGAGTTAGATGATATACGACTAGGGGAGGCTCCCACGGAGGAATCGATCGATAAACAGCTGCAATCGGAGCTGCGGCCGAGGCTCTTCCTCCCGCTGATCATTTCCCGATCGGAGAATCTCGTCAACTCTGGAAAACTTCGTCGAGAGATTTCGCTCCGCTTGGATCTCGAGATCTCCCTGATCGCTTCAGGAAGAAACGTCGCGGGGAAATGACAGACATAGCGGGAAGGGCAATATTGTTCCAATGCTTAGCGAGTGTGTATAGCCGTTGGCAACAATAAGCGAGCCAGCGTGTCATTGTTCAAACATAAGTTATCGCGCAGATCTACCGTCCTCACACCGAGCGATCATCTCGGCGTGGTGGGAAATATTGCGAAAATGAATTCGGAGCTATCCCTGAGTTTATTTAGAGAATTTTCCCTGCAAGCTCGTCGACGCGGATCGCTCTTAGGTTCCCAGGGCGCTATCAATCCGGGCCCTTTCGGAAAATGAAAGGGAAGTCTCTCTCCCAGGACCTTCTGGAAAATGAGTAAAAATATGGACCTCCCGAGGTCCATATTTTCCACACTCATGGCTCGGGGCAACAATGCTCTGTCCTGAGCGGCGGTCGGTACGTCGATATCGTCAACTCCCTCGCTCGAGACAATGGTAAGATATTCTGGATGGTATCTCTTCTCAGCTGGAACTGAAACTTGTCTTCGCCATGGGTCTTCTGGCAGGAGCTGAGGAGGGAGTACATCGGGCCACCGGCATGGCGGGCTAAAGAACTCGGTAACCCAGAGAGGCCATTGATCCGATCAAAGTCGGAACTCCGAGACAGATGGCCACGGGCACTCCACCGATCAGGCCCTGTTAGAGATAGAAGGAGGATTTCGCTACTCGACCGTTTTTCATCTTCGGTCGAAATTATCCATTCGTTGGAGCGATAGCGCTCCCTCGAGCATTTTTTGACCGGCCATGTGGATCTGGAATCTGGACTGGCGGAAACGGTCGACGAGAAAGGATCGGGCGATGATTCGGTTTGCCGTCCGGATGGGTCGCGTACGATGGAATGGAAAGAACGAACATTGAAGGGACCTCGAGGAAAGTAGCTTTTGTAGGGGATTTCTGGGGTGGATCCGAATTCCGCTGTCTCGTGGGCGGAGTCACCTTCTACAATACTGGGAGCGTAGGAGTTCCCGACCACGGATGGATGAGGGGCGACTTCCGCCAGCGTATCTCCGAAGTCGAAAGTCGCGCGAGATGTTTTGATCTTCAGCGCTATTTATTTCAGCGCTACGTATTCATTTTGGGAGAACGGCGCGCCTATTCCGTTAGAAAGATTGGCCATGGGCTTGGGAAGAACTCCAGACGCCCCCCCCCTTCCTCTAATCCTCTTTCATTCCGAGCAGAAGGCCTGGGAAGATACGATTCGAGAGAATTCGATTACTGCTCGTATCTTTCATCATTCCCGGAAAAGAGGATCGAAGACCAGAACCGAGAGATGTCGGGAGTCTGAGTGCGAAATACGAGATCGGTTGCCGAAATAAGACCAACGATCGGGGAAACTTGTCAACCTCGATATTCTAGCCTCGAACTTATATCACTTTGATGTTATACATATCTTCATTGGATACTCGACGAGAGGAAATCGCGATCGGAGCTTTCGAGAGGCCGAGCAAGCTCCGAGCCTCAATGGGGAAATCATGGGCTTCCTCCGTAGGATACTCGAGATCTGATCCGCGCAGATAAAAAGCAGTCACTGGCTCTCGCCCGGAATTTTCCGCGTAAGCTTCGGTCGAGCGACGCCTTTCCCACTCGCCCGGATGGGGGTAGGCATATGCTCCCCAAGCCCTCACACATATATTGGCTGATTCGGAGGGCAGCGAGAGTGGCATGTACACGCTGTATCGCCTCGCCTTGAGCTGATCGTCTTTGCATAAAACAGCCGGAGAAACAACCGATGCTCGAGGGAATCATAATATCATCGGTATACAATCGGCACCAAGCTCTCAATCATTCGGTTTCGAACGAATTTCCCTCGCGAAAATTCCAAAACGCAATCGTAAATCTGTCGTCTCGCTTTCGAGAGCTGAGCAGAAGAACGCAACGAAACAGGAGAAATCGTCTTCGAAAGAGGAACAAGCGCTATCCTGACTCGGCTCAACCAATGATAGGAACTATCGCGGATCGGCGATTTGAGGTTTTTCAAGTGCATACGCCTAAAACCCTAAGACCTCCGTTCGAATAGACTGGGAGAGACATTGTCGCGATTCGCCGAGTGCTGTACAATCCGGGACGATGCCGCGCATCTCTCGCGGACTGGAGGAGGTGTTTACATTTGAAGATATGTACTCCTGAAAACTTCCCTGTATCGGAGGAATTCGTGAACCAGCTGGCACGGTGCGCGGTTGTCTGCTTGAGAATTGCGTTTCTACGACAATTCCGGTGACGATTAGCTCCGTCTGAGAATTTTCCCAGGAATTGGTTTTCGTGCTCGCGGAGAACGTGCTGAAGCGAGACTTCACGCTCAAGTTTCTCGTGACGATCGACAGGGAAATCCCCGACCGCTTAGAGACGGAGTGAACAACAATATGCCCAGAAACAGACGGAATATTTTATCGAGTTTCTCATTTCCAATCGCGTATCACTCTATATTCATATCGATGTCCACGCAGAAGAATGGGGTATTGTCTGCATCCAACAAATGCGCCTTCACGACGTAATGCCCAGTGCCGAGGAGGTTCGCTATGGGACCGAGCGTTGGGATGGCGACATCCGTGTCAGTGGTGTTGATGGCCATAGCTTTCACGGGGCACGCGCACGGCCCATTTTCCTGGAAAACGGACGACATTTTCGAATAAGGCTGTCCTCAGATTGAAGCTGGTATCGATCCCCCAAGATCAATATCCGCGCAATGATCGGTCATCGTAAATAGAGCGCTCATCGAGCGTGATGTGATTTCCGTCAGAGAATATTCGACTGTATATGCCGCGGCGCATCGTGCGGAAGATAGGATTTTCTTCCGTCCGGGCGATGATTCCTCCATTCTTGGTTAGAAATTCGTTTCACCAGCATCGGGAGCTTCGAGAATTTCGGAAACCAGCCGCGCGCTCCACAAAGACTGTCCATAAAAATCATGAGCGCCAGTCGACGCCTTCGAGATCTCTTCCTCTCCGGGGAGGAAGCATGGCTGGGAGACACGATCCGAGAGACTTGGATTACTGCCCCCTTCCATTATTCCTCTCATTATTCCTGCGAATGAGTGTTCTCGTTCCAGGGTCTGTAATCTGGATACGAGGGTTCTGAGATCGGTCGCTGTCGCGTATTGGGTAAACTCTCAGACGCTAAGGCGTCCTTCCGGGAGAGCATCCTCGCCGTGGACACAGTCTTCTCCTGCCGGGATTCCTCTTCAGCATATGAAAGGGATGAGGCAAAAAACAGGAATTTCTCACGGAGGAGCGTACCCTCGAGCCGGCGCTCTCTCCAACTATCGGCGACTTTCCTGCCCGACCAAATTCCCCTCTGCATTCGCTTTGCGACTTGATGTTCCCACTACTTAAGGAGGGTTCAATACCCACAGGAGAAAGGTGGCGCTCATGGAATTGGTATCCGAAACGGGACCCAATTGCACGATATGAAGACCCTCTTATCCACTCTTGGATCGTTCGAGTTTCTGAGGTGTTATGTCCCGGTCGCGACAGACTTTTCCGACTCCTAGTTAGAGAATACTTCCAGGGCTCACCTTCGGCCAGAACGCGCAGTAGTCGAAGTGGGCCGGCGATGTTCCGCTCTGCGCGAGCAGATCGCAGACGTCGTGGGTACTGAAGATGGAGACGAAACATCAGGCGAGGAGTTGGCGAATTCTATTGGGATCGAGTTCACCCCCTCCGCATCGCATGCTGCTGGAACGTCGCAGAGGAGGAGGGAACCGATGCGAAGCCCGAGTTCGTGTGAATCGATCTAGACTTACCATGAGCCGACGTTTTGAATGCAAGGTATCTTTATGTGATGTTGACCGAGAAAGTTCACAACCCTGTCGATCCTAAGCGACAGCTTCGCGCCCGGAGGGAGATCCTTGAGGAGTTTAGCATCGGCGTCGACCTTAATGTGCGAAGCGAGTCGAATCTCGCCCTTGATGGCAATTCGATTGACCTCAACGTAGCCATCGATAGCAGATGCTACAAGGAGAGGAAGTTACATAAAGGTATCTGCATCAAATGGAAATGTCTGATCGTCAAGCCAAGGGACAATGTACACGAGTAAGTGCCCATAGACACAAAGAGCCCTCGGTTCGACCAGAGCTCCAAGGTCGATGTTTCCCTCTGGTCATTATCGGTGAACGTCAAGCATAACATTCCGGCTTTTGATGTAGCATTGGCGCAAGATCATCCATTTTGCTCGCAAGGCGCGTGACATACGAATCGTCGGATCGAGGAAACTCGAAGCATCGAGCAGTCAAGAGCAAATTTCCAGATTGATGACCGAGCAATCAAATGGATGGGCGAATCTTCTTTCGTCCCGCGTAAGATCCAAGGCGAAAAAAGGCAAAGGAAAAACCTACGACATTTCCGGTAGCGAACAGTGCTGGCTGAGGCGAAGGACAGGAGACACAAAAACACTAGATATTCCATGGTCTTGGATGCATAGGATGTAAGATGAACTTGCACCGCTATAGATCCGCCGACGTGAACTTCAGATCGCGTGGGTAGAGCGAATCGCGAGGTTCTACCTCCTAGGTCGAACAGAGAACGGTCCGGGCAAGGATTCTATAAATTCGTCGTTTCGGTGTCCGATTGGAGCTGGGGAATATCACTCGGGGTGAGAACAATAGAGTAGCATGCTAGCCGAAATGGGAACCCCGGTTCGTTAAGGTTTCGCTCTCGCTTACTTCGTTCACTATGTTGAGACACGGGCGTTCTAGGTAGGCATGTTGATAGTGGGAACTCCGAACTGGAAGTTCGCCATTCATCTTTTTTTATATCCTTTCCTCGAAGGTCATACGGGGAGGGTAGCCATACAGCGGCGTGTCAAATCTTCTGTGTTTCCGTCTGATCCGACTTCACCGTCGGTTTCAGCTCGCTCGATGCTGTAACCGGCTTCGAACAAAGTGAATTTTGACACGTCTCGATGGAGAAAACACTTTCCATCTCAGGAATTACTTAACTTCGACTACCAAAGCCGGTATCTGAAAACCGTTACAAAGTCCTCGAATCGACGGTGTTGCTAATTTTCTGTTGCTGAGAAAATAGCCGACTGTCAGACCGCACAGAAGTAGGGAAGAGACTCGCGATAAAAGTGAGAGTCATCCCTGTCCGGCGAATTCCTGAATATTTCTCTCATCAGCATCGGGAAGAGTCAATCGAAGAGGGATATCGCATTCGAATCCGACGAATTCGAGGATTACAACCTCAGTGAATCTCATCGAGGGGGCTCGAGCCGTGGCCGAATCGAAGAAGCGCCCTCGTCCCCAAGGAGCTCATCACGCAGAAGTGTTTTTTGGAAGCTCTCGGTCTCGAGCCGCGTCGATCGGGTTTCTTCCCCGCCCCGCTAGGGTTCCGGATGCTCTCCCGGCATTGATGCTGCTTCGCGGATTCCGCATGTCAAGATGGCTAAGAATAGCTCTCTGTTGCTACCCATGGTCAGCGCCGAACCATATAAGCATCTCCAGGACCTGATCTGCCGTATATGACACAGCAAGCAAACTAGATCTATATTGTCGTATTGTTTCTCAGCAACGAGTTCCGGTAATGAGCTACCGGACCATTAGGAGCGGAGAATCTCGCTCTCTTCTCGATCTTCTATAGACTGACTCCACGCTCGCGAGAGCGTGAAAACAATACGGCTCCTACAGGGCTCATCGATCGTGAGAAAAGCCATCAGACGACCCCTCTTCGGTTTTGATCCTCGCTGTCGGCGATCACCGAATAGCTGCTACCGAGAATACTATGGTGGTGAGGTATCATTTCACCGTCTTGTGCAATGATCAAATTGCTCGCGATTGCTTCGGATAATAGGCATCTTCTACGAAGTACAGGCGGAGGGAATTTCCGATGGTCATCCGGCTCCGGACGTGTGATGCTCAAGTTCTGAAATTTAGTCAAGCTTCCGCTGGACGTGGAGATCCGATGCAGTTCACGCAGTCGCTCTGAAGAATCGGGACATGGGACACCTTGTGGTCATGGCTCCCGCTACCCCCTCGACGTTCTCGACCCAGAACTAATCCGAAGCGCCTGGCTCAGCGGCACTTGTCCAAAAGACGGTCGTCTGATTGAATCTCCGAGCCTCCGACGTCACCTAAAATTCCACTTTGCGCACTGAACTGCCTATGTACGTCATTCCCCTTTACCGGATGTGATCTCCGAGTTCCCGTAGTCATATATCCTGCCAAATAAATTTCGACGTATCGTCTCCGCAGGCGGGAGCTACCTGCTCAGCGACAACCTCAACGTGGCAGCCATCACCTCGGAATCGAGCTCGCAGCGCTGAGGCTCTGAGAAAATCGAAAACAATCCTCGCTCGAGCTGAGGGAATCGAATCGTGGAGGAGGTGTTTCTGTCCAGAATTGGAAATCTGAGATTTCCAGGGACTCGGCTCTATGCGATCGTGTCATCTCTCACGAACGAGCCTCGATGTCTTGGAATTTCCCCCAGACAGAGTCGCATTATGTGCTGTCCGATTGACGACCCCGGCGCCTTAGCGAGAACTGAGCGAGAGTCGCTTCCCTGAGGAACATTGTCCGCTTCGTAGTGCTTATTACCTCGATTTCCTCCGTACTTTCCGTCCCGGTGTTCGATGGTCGCGGACACTGCTCGGCGAATCACATTTCCAGAGGGAAGATTGAGGTATCGAATCCTGTTTTAAGCGGTCAACGAATGTAGCTCTGCTGTATGTTATTTTGGTGCCGCCTTCCGTGGTCGCCTCGAAGCGAAGCACCTTCTCTGATGACGTCCCGAGCGGCGCGTCGGATTACGGACGGTAAGTTTAACTATTCTGCCTCAGTTAGTCCCGGTAAATCCCAAACATATATACATTCATAATAGCGACGTTCCGGTACTAATTGACAACGGTGGGAGGAGGGTGAACGTTCCTCATTTCAATTCTGGTGTAATCACTTGCTCGAAAATCGATGACGATCACACCTTCGAGGAAGAAGAACTAAAATTCAGAAACGCAAGATCAGCAGGAAAGTCAGTCGCAGAGATGCGTTCCCGTCTGCTGTTTGCGAGCCGAGTGCTCCTGCGGAACGCTCCCTTTTTTCCAAGCTTTTAGGGAAGACGAAATTCAGTCTCTACGCTCCAATGAACCAATCAGCGAAAGTATGTTTTCATTTCTACGGAAATCTAATGAAGAGCGCAAACCGAGGCGCGAATGATTGGGTCACCTCTACGGCGAAGAGCGTTTGTTTCACGAAGTACCGAGACAACAAGACTCCAATCAAAAATACAAGTTTTCTCACGGCCATGCCCTCGAGATTTTGTTCGCCTGGAAAGTATTCATTAGAGGACGAATCCCGGGGAAATTACGAGAAGCCGCGAAACAACTCGTTCTTGTGTGCCGCCTTCTCGAGTCACGCTCCTGAATCACTCTAATCAGCTCGAGCAGCACCTGTATTGAGGTTTGATACGGAAGCTGGTTGGATCCCACTCATTATTTTCTGCCAAAACAACTTAGGGGAGTCTGACTGAAGACAAGAGGATGGGAAGCGTGTCGGTCTCGACATGGTGACGACTCGACGCTTTCTTCTATAGGGACAAAATTGAATGAGAGTCGTACTCATGAGCGACCCGAACCGGAGCGACGCACCCGATTCCTCTTGACCGTGGGGACCCCCGAGCAACGGAGGGGACTTGGGGCTCCGCTCTGAGGGAAAATACGCACGAGAAAAAGAAACGATCATCCTCTGGGCTGCGGCGCTTTCTGTTTCTTTCTCTGATTCATGTAGGCTCTTCTGTCGATGTTTGGGCGAATCCTCGACCAAGTCCAAGGGAGCGACATCCCCTCCGTCCGGCACGCTCGTGGTGATAAACATCGACGGAATGTTCATTTTTTCTGACAGTCGGCTTCGAGGCCGGGGATCAAGTAAGTTCAAACTTCAGGCGCCATTAGGGAAGCCCCGAAGTCGCGAAAATACTCGAGCAGCTCGCTTTAAAACCACTTTCGCGAACTTTTTACGACGTGCTATCCGGGTCCTCCGAGCTCTCGCTACAGAAGTTTTCAGCTTCATTTCCGTGCGGCGACGACTCTGGTCCCACAAAGCGAAGCCTCTCTCTCTACTGGTCATTCACGATGAAATACTCCTTCAAAGTATGAAGGAGTATTGTGATGATATTCTCTTTCAGGAGGAGTTCAACCGCAGAAGCTGATGACGATTCGTTCGGCGTCTGTCGGGTTTTCTGCAGCTCGGTACCCAAGGAAGTCGAACTCGAGACTTCGGGGCGCGCTTTCTAAAGTCTTCTCCGTGGCCACCCCGTTTATGAGCGTTTCCAGACACAGGGGCAGGCATTCAATTTCGCCTACCGCAACAACAATGACGACTTCGGCTCGTTAATGGGCGGCGCGGCAGCGGCAGCACGTGGTTGCTCTGACTGCATCTCAGTGGTCGGCTTGTGTCGATATGTTCGTGTGTACGTACACACGTCGTTTCACCCTCCAGCTCGGTCGTCCGTGCGTCTGGAACGGCGTCATCAATTAGACTAACAACCCACGAGAGAGGAGCGACGGAGGAACAGCCAGTTCGCTGCACCATTCACTACCGTGCGACTGGAAAAACCGCGAGCGAGCAGCGCCCCCACGACGATCTAATTCTTAACGCCTCCGCTACAACTGCCGACAACAGGTGGCGATGAGGTTCCCCCTTCCGGCACTGCCGGCAGGCGCCGGCTTTTCGGGGTGTACGACGGTGGCGCTTAGACGTTAGAAAATCATGGCGTCGTCATGATGTCTATCATTGGCTGGTCCGAATCCCCGTCGTAGATCTCCTCGGATTTCCGTCCGTCCTCTGACGAGAACAGAACTTCCTCAACGAGTATCTTTGGAGGCGTGACAGGATTTCCATTTCCTAGATCATGCGGCGACTCGGAAGCAGCGAGAATTCTGAGCCCTGGGCTGGTTACAACGGGACTCGAGTCGCAAAGGGGGAGGAAGGGGGGGGATGACTAGCCGCATCGCTCCGAAATCGCGGTTTTTGAAGAATTCCGCGCGCGATGCCTGACTCGCTCATAAGTGACAAGCAAGTGCGTTGGTTGGTCTCGCGTATTCCATTGCGATTTTTCAACTATTCGAGCGAATCTTCTTCGCAGTGTCTTCCTTCATTGACGAGCCGAGTACAAGCTCGGCTGAGCGCCTGCTCAACGTGGAGTCGTCTCGATGGCGCAGGGGTTGGTCAGAGGTTGCAGCCGTTTTCTGCACTCCGAACATTAAAGTCGGCCATCAGTCACGGAATCCGACTTGTTTACGCAGCCGATCACGCACTGATGGACCTCAAACTCTTTCGCGATTGCTGCTTACGTCAAGTCTCGACAGAGTCTGACTGGCTGAGTGAGTGAGTGACTTCAAAGAGCAGACGTAATGAGCAGCGCGAAGAATCAAACAGCGCTTCTTGACGGACTCGCCGATGTACGCAAGCTTTTCAGCTGAGCAGTTCCTGAAGAAAATTAATTCGCAAATACGAGTCTCTCCCTCTCTCCTTCGCTCGCGGAATGCCCGTCTGCGCGCGGAGCTGTCGAGTCCACATGCTTCGCCGACGAAAGCTGGTTCCGGAATTCTGACTATCTGAAACCCTGCGGACATCACATTACTGTCTCCGCTTGTTTTTCAATCGAGAAACCATCCGCTTAGGAGAAGGCTCGCAGAGACTGCGAAATTGCATTCGATTCAGTTCGAGTCTTTGTCTCGGAGTTCAAAGCAATTTGTAGCTTCTGGATTTTGATCAGAGTTTTTCGATTGCGTGACT